TCTTTCCCTCCAAAGATCAGCTTATTTGCCTAATCTTAGGTGCCTCCCAAGGTTGTGCTGATCCCACGGGTCATTCAGAGGTTCTACCTTTCCCAGCATGTCTAAAATGAAAAGCTCCATGACCCTTCAGTCTCAGCTCTTACACTCAGCAAAATAATACTTTTCCATTGAGCCTAGCCTTGAACAAGTCAAAGCTGGTTGTCTATCTTCTGCTGCACAGCTCTGCCAAGGGACAATCTTTGTGAGGTCCTGAGCTAGTCTAATCTTACAGTGACACCTGATGGTGGTCTTTAACCAGATGTATCAATCTTCAAAGCTCTCAGATACCTGCTGCACTTTCTCAAGTGCAGACTGATTAGATTAACACTACAAGTGTTACCCCTTCTGGATAATGGTTAATGCATTCTATAATAGGCATATGTTCTAACATGCAAAATAAACAATATCTAATACTTGAGTAGGCATATTATTTCTTGTTCCTCTGTAGAAGAATGTGAAAGACAGGGCATGAAGGCAGTTACACAGCAATATGTAGGCTGTAGACACTAAACGATATTTTGATGTTTAAATTATTTCTTCCACTTGCAGGAAAGAAACAGTTATCCCTCAGTTGTAATGATGGAAGGTGTGCAGGCTTGCCACTGGGGATAAGCTGGTCCTTCTTATGAGCAATCTTACAGATAATTGGACAGTGCTTTCTGAGTGACTAAGTACCTTTCAGATACTCCTACAGGCTCAAAAATCTTGCCCTAGACTGGTAGTTAAGGCAATCACTACTTTAAACAGCACCTCCTCCTTCTACTGGCCTCCTGGTTGATCCACCTTCTTCTAATTTTAGACTTTACCATTTGATTTTAGAGCCAATATCTGTCCTAGCAGACAATGACTGTTTGGGGCCAAGTTTTCCAGAGTTACAAATTTTCTGCTGAAATAGATGGGGCACAGGGAGAATGGCGAGTAATGAGACAAGGAATTCTGCCATGATATTATCTGTAGCTCACACTGAACACTGTATTCAGAATACACTTCCTGCATTATTTTTAGACCTTCTGTGACAAGAGCTGAACTTTGGTAGAGGCAATGGGGCAAGAACTCAAAGTCCAGCAAGCCAACAGTAGGCATCACACTTTCTAATCTTAGATAATGGTTGTTATAAGGCAGCTGAACCTTTATAGACTTTCCCCTACTTTTTAATATTACTTTAAATATTTCTTCTCCTTCAAAAAGGCTTCTTTAACCTGCACTTAGTTGGAATTTATCTTCTTGCTTTTATGAAATTTATTTTTCCAGGGAACAAAAGCTCAATTTAGAAGCTTCAACCCCAAATGTCTCCTGCCCTTGAGTCTAGATTATTGGACGTACCTTGGTTCTTTGACAACACCACCCCTTAATGAGAGTGTAACATGGATAGTGCTGAAAGAACCAATCAGAATTTCTGAGAAACAGGTAAACTTATTACGCTCTCCCAGGTCTTGTAGGATTCCATACAGGCAGTGACTGTTTTGATTTGCAGTGGGGCTAAATTAAAAGACCATTAGCTCGTGAATAAGTAGCCTGTTCAATAATCAGGGCTTCTGTTTGTTCTGTTAATACTCTCTAGGATCTTTGCTTGAACCTGTTCTATTAACAGATTGTAATGTACTGAATGTTTTCTTTTGGTCCTTTTACTAAAAACATGAATATTGATTGCCTTAAGCAGTAAATTTTCACCTGAATTACAGCTGGAGAAATTCCGCATGCTCCTCTTCACTGGTGAGGAAGACCAGAGGATCCAAATGGTGAATAATTTTCGCCCCCCTCAGCCTCTTAAGGGGAGAATAGTTCGAGCTTCCTTCAAGGCCTGAAGAAAACTCATAATGGCCCTGAGACATCCAAGAGCTTCCACATCTGAGATACTATAAATAGAAACTCTGGTCTTCAGATCACTCATGGAACACACAAGATAGACATTTCCATGAACAGTCTACTTGGAGGACAATCTTCTGATTTTATATTTTATTTGAACTGCTCAGTCTTTTGAGAAATAGGATCTTTTTAACTAGCACTTTTTAATATAAGAGATAGTTGAGTAAACCCAAGTGTTCTCCAAGATCTGAAATGCTAAAAACTGAGATGAAATTGAAATCCTGCTTAATATAAAATCGGAAATTGGGTAGTGATTTACTAGTACTGATGGCCACAACTTCTAATTGTCTCATTTAATACAAGATGAAACAGTAGTCAAGAATTTTGGAGAAACTGGACTTAAATTTTCCTTACTGATATCTTGTTAGCATTTGCTGAGCTCTCATTTAAAGATTGCTTTCACTGTGTTCTTGCTGTCTGTCAATACATACAGTACATATGACTAGCACTAGAAAAAATGTCTTTACTCACTGGAAATAGGCACTAGTGTGGAAACTACATATATATTTTGAAGTTACTGTTCCAAGATGATATTTTATAACTAATTTAAAATAACAGTTAAAATGCTATGTTTAGAAGTAGGTTGGTTTATTGCAGTGTTGTTCAGATATTTGTTCTTTTAGCCCATGCAGCACACAACTACAATGCCCACGACTATTTTGTTGAAAAGAACATCTATAGCAATTCAGGTATGTGTTTTGTGGTTCTCAGTTGTTCAAATTCTACCTCAGTTCAGTGACTTGCTCTGCAATATGACCTCCTTCATTGTCTGCCCTAAAGAAAGTAGGTATTTGAGATCTAACATGGGTAGACCTTGACTGCACTGAATGTGTGGTGCTGCACAAATCATCCCTGCGCAATGGCAATCTGTCAGGGATACTCCCTGCAGATATGAGGCTTTACCAGTCCTGAGTCCTTTTACCTCTTCAAAAGAAAGTTGCTTTAGAGAAGCCATGTGTTAGTATTACTGCTTCTGCAGCTTCGTGACAAAATTCAGGGACTTGTGTCTCCAGTACTAAATACAGTGAGTGTTATATATAACTGCCCACAGTCCATTTTCAGTTACTTTAATTCTGGGCTTCAAATGTTCCAATTCATCTGTGTAGTTCAGATAGAAGTTGCTGATGTGTATTGATTTTTATCAGCTGAGATGGAGAAATAAAAGATGTACAATGAAAAGGAAAGCAGCAGGGGAAAGGAGCTACTATGGGTTGTTCTCCCCTTTCAGAAAAGGAGAGACTCTAGATGTGAAGCACAGTATAACGTGTGGAAGACTAGAATTCTAGACTTCTACAGTTTTTCTGGAACACCGACCTAAAAATTTCTGTTCCTCCGTTTCTTCCTATCAAGATGAGGGTAACACTGACCTACCTCACAGGGATGTTGTGAGGGCTAATTCAGCATTGTTTTAGATGTGAGATTCTTATACAGCAGATGCTAAAGGAAAGAAAATCATTATGAAATGCAATGGTTTTAGCTATTATAAATGTAACTTTGCTAGTAATGCAAACTGGTATTACAGAAAATCTATTTAATGTATTGTAATTTCTTTAACAAATGAAATAAAATGAGACTTTAAAATCAAGCGTGCGTCTCTGCCCTTTATTTTGAGTAGACCTACCTCTCCCTACTTACAGCACTGTTTTTTTCTTGGACTTTCATTAACAAAATGTTGCTTATTTGCAACTGATGCATCTGTTTCAGCTCAAGGAATTATTTGATTGTTTACCTTCAGTTTCATAGAAACCTTGACTATGCTATAGTGAAATAATCTAAGTACAGATGAGAGTTATCCCTCCCAAGTTCCTGGGCTTTTTTAAAGTTCTAGAAAGCCTACCTCTGTTTAAAAACTATTTTTTACTATATAGCACAACTCTTCCCCTCTTTTGGGACTAACAGTTTCTACTTCAGCTTAATCCTTACACTCAAATCCTGACATATTTTGTACATCTTGAATGACTTCTTGCCCAGAGTTAAATTATTGTAATGAATCTTATGTCCCTGTTAAATTAAAATCTACATGAAGAGACTAATTTTAAACTGTGAAAAGTCTTTCAAAAGAATCTTACGTATTTGATAGCCTGAATACATTTTTATTAGGGGTAAATTAAAGTACTTTTCTGATTAAAATTTAACCAATATGACTTACCATATATAGCTTGATGGAGCTACAAAAGTACTGCTGCATTGGTGTTACTGCACACTTGCACAGAGCAGGCTGCTGATCAGTATTCTCAGTGCTTTCTCATTTTAGGCACCTAAGTAGGTTTCTGCTCAGTCTCTCAAAAAAGGTAAAGAGGCCTTGTAGACAAAAACTTTGTGCAGTTTTTCCCAGGCTATAACCAGTCTAATAAAATTAAAGTCTTATTTATCCAGGAAATTATGTCCATTCTGTGACCTTGAACACAGTACTTAAGCTTCTTTAAGGGTGGTTTACTTATGAACAATAGAAGGATAATGTTTAGCTTGCAAGGTTATTGTAAAAGCTTAGCTATTGTAAAGAGCTTTAAGTGCTGAATCCCCCAAGGTGTGCAGTTTCTGGGACAAACTGAACTACACTTTGCTTAAAAAATAAAATTTATCTTATTTACAGGGTTGGGTTTTTTCAGTTGTTGGATTAAAAAACATGATCTGTTTTTACCACGGTGAAGCAAAATATAAAAGTAAGCCTTTGTTGTTTCTTGAAGCCTGGATCATCCAATAAAAAAGCACAAATATTTAACTCTTATACGGTGTTTTATAGCTATAAGCTACATTCTACAATTTCATGCACTTAATTTATTCTGAGATTTTAAAAGCAAACTGCAAGAAGAAATACCAACTATTATATGAAGTAATGAATTTTATTGTATACTCAATGAATAATGCAGTTGGTATGATGAAGTATAGTAGTTAGATTAAGCACTTAAAGTTTTGCTGTACTGTCTTTTCTGTGTAACTGAAAATACAGTCTACCAGGAAACCATATCAAAAATAATAACAATAAAACTGACTGTTCCCCACCAAAAGACTTAAAATCACCAATCTAAGTTATTTTTCAGAAGGGGTATCATGAAGAGTTTCACTGATGATTCTTTCTCCTTTAGCAAAGTTCTCCTAGTAATAATATTCTGGGGTACAAGGAACCATATTAATTTGTATTCCTTCTACAGATTCATGACTTGTTAATATATTGGTTGAAATATAGTTAACTTGAGAGCCTTATAGCAAGAACTCCTTTATTTCTTTTGCCAACATTTTTATCTTGTTATCCATGAGAGAAGGATAATCAAACCCAAGGACTGTGTACTGTATTTATAATATGCTTTGAGACCCTCAGAAGAGACTAACTACAACAGTATAAACTGCTGTTATTTAATTATTCCATTTTTGATCTGAGCTATGTTTCAGTGCTTGCATATATAGAGGTGACTATCAATTTGCATTCTGCAAGACCACAGGAATCAACCCAGTTTGCTTGTCTGAACTCCTAACAGGCTTGTCTGAACTCCTAACAGTATTCTAGCTAGCACCTCTAGTACAAATGCCCCCTCAAAGGCAATTCATAAAGCCAAATACCTGTGCTATGCATCAGTACTTTTTGAGCATTTGCAGAAACATCATTTTTTCTGTTTTCCTTCTGAACTGTCATCCCCTGCACATCAATGTTACTCAGCACAGCTCCTCCATCAAGGTCACTCAAATTCTAGAACGTGCTATCCTTAACTTCTACCAACTACGTTAAAGGAAAAATCACAGTTGAATCTAACTAACCCAGCAAGACTTAGCTTAACTTGAAATAGGATCACAGTTGTCATGACTGAGAGAACATGAGGCCTTACATCTAGGACAGTGACCGAAACTGCACAGCTGTAAAAGCTAGACTAAAAATGCCATCTACTGGCTGGCTTGTTTCCATTTCTTACAAAAGCATTTTTAAGGTCAATTCAGCCAAAATACAACAGATGAGAGAATTTAATTTTGACAATAACTATTTTTAGAGGTATGAGTGTAACTGAAATCCCTGTGCTGGCTCTACATACTTTAAACTCTTTTATCAGATAAAAATCAATCTTACAAAAGAAACTCAGTAAATCGGTTACAATTTTTGTTTTTCTTTTCACTGATAGAGTGGAGATATCCTCTGCCTGGTAAACTGCACACTATCTTAACTTTAACTTTTTAACTTTAATAGCTGTAGTTTAAGGTTCAACTTAGGGTTTTTTCCCCTGTCCTCTGCAAACAGAAAGATATTTAGGCAGTTTCAGCGATGTAGTTGATATGACCTAGCAGTGATTCATGATGAGTGTAAATTAACCCAAATATAAGCATCAGGGGAAAAGTGTTGCAAGGTACCTTGTCACCAGATGGTGCTTTTGGTGGTGTTCAAAGGTCAGAAAGATAATAAAAGGGAGCATTTCAGGAAAAAAGCAAGGATAAGCCTGAAAAAAATGAGATGTTAGTTTATACCTTGGAGTAGCTCTTTTCCTCTCTGAATTACTTCTGCATGCAAAAGTGACCAGTTAGTAAAGACACTGAGTATCGAAGCATGTCACACTACACTGCCTATAAGAGTTGGGGTCCCAAGTTTTTTCTCACTTACTCTGAGGAAATGACTGACTTTAACAGAACTGTTCCCGAATTGCATGGCTGTAAGGCAGAGAATGTTTATAGCTCTGATGTTCCATTTATACTGCTACTCACAATACATTTGAATTTTAGTAAAATTTCAGCCCCTCTCTCCAGGTTGTGAACAGCAACATAGTAATGCAAACCGTCATTTCATTTCATTTCACATTAATACAGTGGAATATTAAGTGCAGCAATTCAGGAGTCAACTCAGCCTGTTCATCTGTTGGAGGGGAAGAAGGTGGAAGGAGGAGAGGGAGGAAAGGAATACAATTACTTTTCTACACATGAGCATTTCATACCAAGACAGAAGACTTTCCTGCACTTGTAAGCTGTTCCCAAAAAATTTGAACTCACTTTTACAGTC